TTTTTTTTTTTATTACAGCCTAATATATAATGTTATTGTCTGATCGACCGAAAACATATAGGTACATAATATAATAATATGCAATGTGTTTTCCATACACTAAAATTAAAAATAATATTTCACATAATATCTGTACCCACAGAAAGTAATCGGATGTACATAATAATATAATAATAAACTTATAAAATAATATGTGGTGTGTATTATATATACCGTATTAAAAAGATTAATATTTTACATGATAAAAAATAATACACATAGGTACGACATACATGATACAAGTATACGGCCCGAGCTATCGAGTAAAACACCACGACCCGCCCATAAACACAATATTGTTATTAGTATTATTATTACTGTTATTTTACAATTGTATAGTTTTGTCATACATAAAATATTAGATATATGTATACATCGTAGCATGATAATATATTTTACTTTAATCGTCAATTTTTAAACGGCGGATGATGCTATTTTTTTTTTTTAAATATTATTTTCTTATTGTAAATATTTGAACAGTCGACAAATAACTATATAATAATAATAGGTAAATAATATATACGAATTTAAACTTAACAAGCACATTGAGCTTTGGAAACATTATTATTGTTAATAATGTTTTCAAAAGTGTTTACCATTAAACTTAGCTCTCTTTAGAAATTAATATTGATTACATAAGTAATTAAATAATAATAATAAATAATTACAAAAAAGAACAAAAAAAAAAAAAAAGATAATTATGTATAAAGGTAGTAATATTTTTGATATTTTTCACACCAGAGCGCGATCACAATTTTGAAAGTTAACATAAAAATTAAAATATAATGATGATGATTTAATAATTACATTTGGGAGGCATAATCGACGTTGTAGATTCGATTTATGCTATATAGACACAGGCGGATAGATTTCATTTCAACTGCGCGCTGTCGTACCGTGAACGGACATATGGGATTCCAAGTCACTGGCACTCAACACTTGACGACAGTGCTTGCACACTTCTACGTTCATCTCGTGTCTACTGTTCTGGTTATAAATGAACAGTAATTCCTTAAAAATTATAAAATAAAGAAACTGATTAAATTAATACTAATATTTATAATACATAATCGAAGAAAAAAATTGGGATGCTCTACTATACAGTCGGAGTCTGATGCATTTCGTACCTAATTAAGTAATTTACTGTCATACTTATGTTAAATTTCAATAGGTACAATAATAAATCACTGCATACGAAGACGACTACTCTGATAGGAGACGGCTATCTTACATTATTAAATTAATTTTATCTTATATATTTTTGTTACATTATAGTAATTAAATTTAACATTAGTAATATTGCACATAAATAATCAATAGCTTAAATAGTTTATCTTTGAAAATATCTAAGTGTAGTATATTTGTTTCCTATATCGTCGTTTTTATTTTAGATATCCGATTTTGTGAAAATTTTAACATCAAAGTCTACAAAGAAAATCTATTATAGATTATTGGGTTACAGTAAGAAAATACTATAAGACCATGGGGAGTTTTTTATTAAATGTACAAGCATTAGGTACAAAAATTGAATATTTTATACATTTTTAACTACAAAATAATTTATAAATGTTTATGATTTACTTAAAATTTTAACTTAAAACGTTACATAAAATCACGCTTTTATATTTTTAAGATGTAAAAGAACAACATAAGCAGGATCTTGTAATAAATGTTAAAGTGTTTTACTTGAATCTTAATAAGTTTTACAGAAGTTTAACAGAGTTAACTAAATTATCAACAAGTTTTTAAAAAATAAATTAAGGGTATAAATTAGAAAACTTTTATTACTTATAAACAGCTTAAAATTAGTTTAAATATTTTGAAAATTTGAGTATAGAAAATTATAATGTAATTAGTAGTGGAATGTTTCACTACGATTCATTAAATCTTTGATCTACATAAAAAAACTAAAACCGTTTGATGATTTCACGTATCAAAATTATATAATAATCAAGTTTGTTAAAATTCTAACTTAAAACATTTATAAGTAATTTGTGTAATAAAAGGTGTTGGTGAAAATTACAAGCAAAAGTCGGGTATCAGATGTAGGGAGTCTAATGATATTATTTCCGCCGCATAGAAAAACATTGAATAATGTTGCATTACCTAACAATGACGGATGGACATGATTAAATGCATTATGTATTGGTTGCTAGGGAACGGAGCAGCTTTACGATAAATCCATTATGATAACGAATAAAAAAATATGTTTAAACAAGGTAGCTATTATATTACGATGACGTAATTATATGATTAATTTGTTGATAGGGGCCAACTAGGTATACTGTAATGCGAAATCGGTCGGATAATGTAATCATATTACGCATAGGTCAGGTCAACACAAGCAACTTGGGTTCTGTAACGTTAAAGTAAGCACCAAACCCAAAAATCCACCGAGATAACGAAAAAAAAAAGTTGGATCCAGCCAAAAAATAAATCCGTGTCAAAATACACGTAATAATCATTTTAAAATCAATATGCAAAGGGTCTATGACAGAAAACATAAAAAGCTAGACAAAAGTGTGGACAGTGCAGGTGATAGACATATGGATGGAATTAAAAAAAATTTAAGGCTCGAGCATTACAATTAATATTACGTGGAAGTACGTACCCGCTGCTTTTGGATGTCGGGCAACAGCAACACAAGTTCCTGGAAGACGGACTCAAAGCTGTGGGGGGCAAGTGCTTCGACGCAGTACGAGTAAAAGTCAAACGCGGTAATGACTTGTTTGCGAAACAACGTGGACATCTCTTTGAACTTTTCAAACGTGTCAAAGCGTTCGTCGCGAGCAGGTATTAGCGCGGCCATCAGGTTGTTGATAAGCACTTTGTTTCGGACTGATGATTCGGCTGGATGCACATACTCGAACGGTTTACCACCACCGCCGCCGCTGTCGGACAACGACAGACCGGGCGGTGCTTTGATTCTGTGATGGTTCTGTGCTGCAGGAGATGGTCCGCGGTTACCAGACAGCCCGGGGGGTGCTCTGACCGGTTGCTGCTGTTGTTGGTACGCGTTCTCGAATCCTGGCGGTATTTTCGGTGTTTTGATGTGATTGTTTTGCAACTGTTGCTGATTGTGATTTTCTCGCTGTTGGTGAATTTCTCGCTGTTGGTGATTTTCTTTCTGTTGGTGATTTTCTCGCTGTTGGTGTCCAGCTGAAGGAGTAGATTGTTGTTGTTCTCCTCGGTTTTCGTTCTTTTTTCTCTTTTTCTTGTCCTTTGGGTTGTTGGTATCCGAAACGGATTCTTCGTCAGGTTGCGCTGACGTTCGGCTGACCGTAGTAGACTCTTTCTTTTTAGACGACTCTCTCTTCGGCTGTTCAGTCGGGACTGTAGCGACGGATTTTATCACTTCAGTCTTAACAGCGACCGCCTTATTATTCGTTGAAGTTGTCGCGATTGCAGTCTTGGACGACACGTCGCCGGCCGCACCACCGTTACACATCTGCACTGCGTCAACGTTTTTGGTATTGGGTTTATTGAAATTTTCCTTATTACTACCGTTGCTATCCACAGTCGAAGGGGTTTTCTTCCCGTTTTGTACAATACTGCTCCCGTTGACATTGTTTTCTGTAGGCGAGTTTTTTTTTGAATTATCTGTTTTTTTCTTGTTGCCACCTAATTTGGCCAGGTTGCTTTTGGACGGTTCATATTTTTTGTTCAAATTCGGAAAGTCCGACGGGCCTGGCACCTTTGGCGCCTCAGCTATTTTTTTCTTGATGGCTGGTGGTTCTTTTTTCACCTTTTTCTTGTCACTCTCGTTACCCGTTTTGGCTTTAGACACCCAACTTCCACCGCTCGAACTACTGGCTGCCACTATCTCTTTATTGGCGGTCAACTTGGGGTGTTGCAAGTTTTGCTGCTGCTGTGGCTGATGATTATGGTTGCCGTCCAGCGATGGAAAATCTTTGGCTTGGTTAGGCAATCGTGGGCCTGAAAGAGCCTTAGTGTCTTTGTTTCGATCCGGTTTAGGAGGTTCTGCTGGTTTTTTTAACACTGCGGCCATTCGAATGTTATTCATCGCCGGTTTCTGGACCTTGGTTGCCACTGACGGCTGGGGGTCCTGTCCTAGAGCCGGGAACGAATGCAAGTCTCGTGTATTAACCGATTGATTTTGTTTCCTGGTGCGGGCACATGGCAACACCGTCGTGTGCTGACCGTTTAGCGATGGGAAGTCTGCAGTATTGCGTACATTGATAGCACGATCTGATGATGTTGTAGGCAACATGTGACCGTCGGAATGATTGTTGTTATTAAGACTGTACATAAATTATGATGGTTAATGTTAAACAGGTGTCGCAAAATCAGTATCATTATATTTATTTGAAAAAGCGGAGTTATTTAATTGAGTATATTCATATTTCTAGACCGTTTTTAATTTAATTTAACTGAATTAAATACTTGGAAAATTTGAGTGTAGACTATATATGGTTAAATATTGATTACTTTGTAAATATTATAATACTCACGAATTATCAGATGTAGGCTGACGAGGTGGTTGGCGTGGCGGTTGGTACTGGTTAGGCCTGCTAGCTTCAACTGTTGGATTGTGTCGCGGTCTTAAGTTAAATTCAAGTTTTAAAGTACGGGCTTCTTTATATCCTTGTTTCCCCAAGTCCCTGCTGTGTGTTTGCGCTTTATGAGCTATTATGCAAAAATAAACGAAAGTATGAAATATGTTAATAATATTCAATAATTTTCAATCGACCAAACGTATAATAAAATATACCTTGTAAGTCGATCGATGTACGAAAAACTGACGTAAATTGTTCATTAATACAATTTCCTTCTTCGCAGAGGTAGTGATTCTCGTAATAATGCTTTCTTAGCCAGTCATATGACCTGAAAAATATAGAAACATATCGGTAAGGAAACCCGTAATAATATGTGTAATAGTCGATATAATTCATTTACATAAAAAAATAATACACACATGTAGTAATCTTGAATACCATCGGCATCACAAAAATGACAATAGAAATGCTCCTTCCTTAGATGTTTATAAAGCTCATCCTTGTCTAAGTAACGGACATTACAAAATTGACATTTAGGATGACCCCGGTGAGATGTATTATCAGGGTCGCCGCATTCTTCATGTCTAGTTAACTCATCGTAGTTATACCAACGTCTCTGGCTTGGGAATATCTAAACGATTAAAGTAAATACATAATTACAACTTAATTCGTTAGTATTCATATGTTATGAAAAAAACGGAAAATTGGTATCCGCTGTGCTGTTTATACAGTTGGAGTCGAGTGTACCTCATCAAATGTAATGAATGTGTTAAACTTGAAATCAATGATAAAAAATTGCATACAAAAAACGGTTTTAGATGAGGTCGACCGATTTAGTATTTGTTAAGTTTACTTTAAGGTATATTTATTTTAGTATTAAGTCATTTATTTTATAACCTATAAATAAAATATGGTCAACAAAAATTAGAAAATTGTAAATGTCTGATACAGGATAAAACTGACTCTAAATATTTTATAATTTTCATTGAGTATAATAAACAATGATAAAACAAGACCTAGAAAGGTTGGGGATTACAAGTTGGGAAGAGTTGGTCCAGGATCACAGAAGTTGTAAAGAATTGAGAGAGGCGGCGAAAATTCTTACAGAGTTATGAAGCCATATGATGATGATGATGATAATAAACGATAATTTATACAACTTAATAATGTTTCAAATTTCTAAATATTATTTATTGAATTAAGAAATAAAATAACATAATCCTGTTTTAGACATGACCACATAATTTCGTTAAAATTTTAAACTTGAAATTTTCTTATAACGTATTAGTGAAATTACGTTCAACAGGTTTTCCATAATTCTTGAAACAAAAACTTAAATGGTTAGTTAATTAGAAGTTTGTATTCAATTTTAAATTTCAAACATTATAAGTTATATAAATTTTACACTAAATAATAATTAGCATAATTTGATACTTTTTAATTGGTATACAAAAAAATAACTGTGGAATCTTGAATTAATTGTATTTTCAAGCTTTTTCTTATCAAAAATAAATTTTTTTTAAGTATTCTATGTAAATTTTAAGTTTCTACAGTTATCAATTTTTAAGTTATAACTAAGAATAGAATAGATTTGTAATTAAAACCACCTTGATAATTTTAACTGCTCAAAAAGATGATGACAGATAGAACAAAAACAGACATTATTGTAAAATCAACAGATTAATAGAATCGCTCATAATACAATATAGGTATATTAAATTGAATAGATATAAAAAAATTAACTAAATAAATTGACTTTTTAGTTTAAATCACCTTTAAATTGTTCACACAGAGGCGACAAGCATAAAGACGATGGTTTCGTTCCATGTGTGTTGCTAATTGTTCAAACGACTGGAACTCTGGGTGATCGTAACATTTTTTACAGTAGCAACGCAATAATTGGTCAAATGAATTTTCCACAGAAAGATCACCAAATGCAATGCCATATTTTTTGTTATATCGAGGATATGAACGATCATCCAAATTTTTAAACAAATCCAACTCATCTTTGGTAAAAATTACCTATAAAAAAAAAAACTTAAAAGTTAAATTTATTATACTTAGATACAATTTAAATCAACTTTGTATGAAATCACAATGATTTACGGAGATATATTCAAAGTTTTTCATATTTTTTAAACTACTAATTAAATGTATAGAAGTATAGAAATGTTTTATTAATTAGTTATTTCAACTACATTAATAAAGATTTCAAGCTGGATTGAAAATGTAAAAAGTTGTAGAAAATGTTAGAAATCTCAGAATATATCTACTATTCATCTTAGTTGTATTAAAAAAAATGTTTATATAATATTACAACTGATAAGGCTCATCTAAGTCTAAACTCATAATGGTAAATAGTAAGTATCTACATATAATAATAGTTATTGAATTATTGGAGTAGTTGAACAATACCATATATATAAGCATTAAGAATAAGATATATTAAAAACCTTGGTCAGCATTCGTCTGCATATTGGACACTCCTTTTGATCGCAGAGCACTCGCATGGTAGTCGAACACTCATAACATACAGGATGATCGCACGTACCAATTGAATAAATTGATTGCATTTTAAAACATATAACGCAACCAGGACCTGATGGTTTGGACGACGCTGGACGCGATTTGTAAGTTGATGATCTTCGGTCCATTTCTACTAATCAAAAAAAAAAAAAAATGAATATAGTAATATTAATACGAGGGAGTTGTCTCAACATTAAAATTTGTAGTTTAGGAGATTACGATGATAACTGTTAAGTCTCAACTTACTATGTTTGGCACTGAACGCGAAAAATAAAATTATGTATCAAGGAAATATATGTTGCGCATGCACGAATACAAAAACGTGTACTAATTATATATACGATATGATGTATGTATTTAGTGAAAGTATACTATCGAGAATAATATTATCGTTTGATGGCGACTTTGCGACAATAACAAAGTGAGAAAAATGAAAAGATTTAAAAAAAAAATTGATAGTGTTAAATCTAAAATTGATATTTTCAAAATTAGAAAAATATATGCAAAAAAAAAATATAATAATAATAATAATAATCACACGATCACATGTGGCGGTGGAGGACGGTGCCCCGTCGGTCGGTTGCGATTCGTTCGATGACCGTTGTTACCATTAAGACCGGGAAAATGGTAATGTGATAAGAAAAATAAAGCAAACATCAACAACAACAACGACGACGGTGAACAGTATCATTATAATTTTCACCACGATTCACGACCGTGTTTTTCATCGAGATAACGATCGAATGTGAACCTAACCAGATGACGGTTTATCAATGGCATGGAGGGGATGGTTGGGAGATAACGCGACGACGATCGTGTCTGATAGCAAACACGAGGTCGGGCGTAGTGCAAGACGTAATACAAATACCCGCGAGTCTGTTGTTGTTTGGTGGTTTGGTGTGTGGTTTCGATAGTTTTCAAATTTTTCGCGTCGACCAACGCCCACGATACGGTCAAAACTCTAAACAAATTTTAATTTAGATACGAACAACCACCGTGTATTAATTTCCTGCCATTCAATCCCGTGTGTCGTCTAGGAGTGACGACGTAGGCACGCGTGTTTGCAACGTTGAATGTCATTTGTGGACGTCTGCATGAATGGAAGAAGCGTCGTCCAAATTATCATCCGGCAGCACCGACGCCGCCGAGTCCGCCGACTGGCGGTTACCGTTATGTTTCACGAAAAAACGTCACACGGAAGAAATAAAGTACGTAGACACTGTGGTAAACTCATGGCGCCTCAAAGAACGGGTGAGTACATTGTCTGTCATTTAGTAAAACATTATCTTGAATTTTCATTAATTTTATATTATTTCGTGTTAATTTATTTTGTGGATTTAGATGAAGACTGTGAGTGTTGCACTTGTCATGTGCCTGAATGTAGGTGTAGATCCACCAGACGTTTTAAAAGTGCAACCTTGCGCCCGTCTAGAATGTTGGATAGGTATAGATTTCACAACAACTATAATTGAAAAAACAATAATTTTGATATATCTTAATCTAACAAAATTGTTTGGTCTTATAAACGTGTTTAAACTGAATTAGATCCAATGATGATGATGCCTCAGAAAGCATTGGAAGTCATTGGAGCCAATTTACAAAAACAGTACGAAAGATGGCAGCCAAGAGCACGATACAAACTATCGTTAGACCCAACTATAGAGGATGTAAAAAAATTGTGCATTTCCTTGAGACGAAATGCAAAAGAAGAAAGAGTCCTTTTCCACTATAATGGACATGGTGTTCCAAAACCCACAGTAAATGGTGAAATTTGGGTGTTTAACAGGGTAAGTTGATTTTAATTTTTAGTTATTATTCTTAATAAACATTTTAATATTTATAATTTATTTCAATTTTGTTAGACATATACCCAATACATTCCATTGTCCATATTTGATCTTCAAACTTGGATGGGATCACCATCAATTTTTGTCTATGATTGTTCAAATGCAGGAATGATTATAAAATTATTTGGTCAATTTGCTGAACAGCATGAAAAAGAAGATTCGGTCGGTATATATTAATTTGTTTTGTTATAATAGTTTTTTTTTTTTTATTTACTGATCATTAGCTTAAAATTAAACTTTGAAATTTAGATAATATGATAAATAATAATATAATATTGATTTCTATAGGAAAAAAATAAATTGGCAATTAAATTTGTTTGACGTATTGCATTATTGAAAGAAAACATAGTAGAAGGATACTTAACTAATACATTTCATTTTTTTTATTAGTTATGTTCCATTATTTATAACCTTTTAATAAATTTGGACTAATATAAATATACATATTTAACATGGCACCAATTTATAATTTATGTAATATTATATTTCTTACTGAATAAAAAGCTTATTTATGCTGATACTATTAATTTATTAATAACTACAACTTTAATTATTGGTTCAAAAGTTTCATTCAATTATTGTAGTACATCAATAATAAATTGACTAAATTCCATGAAATTTTACAAAAAATATTTAATGTTTATTAATTATTTATTTATTTTGTAATATTTAACCATCTACTTTTTGATGTTCTTTTGTATAATTTAATATTTACTTATTATAATGATTATAATGTATATAATTTTTAAGAACCATTGTTATACTATTTTATTTCCGATTGAGTATAAAATAACTTTTATTAACCTTTAAAAAAATTAAATATCTTTTCTTTCAATAATAACCATTTTGTTTTTACTTAAAGCTATATATTATACAACCATAATTCATAAACATGTTTTTTATTCACATAGGTAATAATATGGCAATGAATTCTTAATACACATCTGCACCTCTTTAATATTTGTTACTTTAATTTTTAGAGTGATGCGACACAATGCCCATTGTTTATAAACCGTGAAAGACCTTCCTTTAAAAATTGCATTCAACTAGGTGCATGTCAAATAGATCAAACACTTCCAATGCATCCAGACTTGCCTGCTGATTTATTTACTTCTTGTTTGACTACACCAATTAAAATGGCTGCTCGGTGGTAAATTATTATATCTATAAAAATATAGAAATTATAGTTATAATTATTATTGATTTTAAAATAAAACATAACTATTCATAAGCTATTTAGTTTGTGGAAATCAATATATTTTTTATAATTTATAATCAATTGTGATTGATGTAATTATGTGCATATATTTAATGAAGGCAGTTTTATAATTTTTATCATTTTACATTCAAATTATAATTATATCAATACGTGACCTGTAATTTAAAATCGCTGCTTAAATATGACTGATGGTGGTTTGATATTACTGCTTTGTCTCAATATTCTTTAAGAAATATTATCGTGTTAGTATTCAAAATTAAAGAAACACACGTCATTTGAGTTTAAAGTTCAAATGTCTAATAGTGATATTATTAGATTAACAAACATGTTAGACTTTAAATTTATTGCTACAATAATAATCAATTGACTAAAATGCATTTTAAAGTTATGTCATTGCAATTTAACATATCAGCAATTTACTGTACTTGTAATTAGTACCTAATGTGTTGAAACATCTCAATAATAATAAATTAATTTATATATATTAGTAATGCAGAAATATATTTTAATGAATACCATAATGATATTTCATCAGTAAATGATTTGAATGTTTTTTATATTTATTTAATATTGAATCGTTTGTTTATTCTTTAAATTGGGGTACTTGGAAACTGTAAATAATTAAACCTTAAAAAATAAAAATAATACTTCTATAATCACTGTTTATAAAAAGTGTATTATGCTATAGATTAAGAATTAGTATACAAGTAAATAGGCATCATAATATTTTTATCAAGTTCAATTGAAGTATTTAATCTTTTATTATTTTTAATTTAAATTTTACAATTTTTGTCTCTGTATCTAACATTTTTTTGCATATATTACATATTTTAGATATGAATTTATTTACAAAACACATATTGTAATTAAATTTTCTGTTTAGTATAAAAATATACTCAAAGTGATAATATTTAATGATTAATTATAGAGATAATATACTATTTTAATCTACAAAGAATGTTTTGTGTCTGATTAAAATTAATTTTTGTATGTAATTCATTTCTGATAAGTTTATGTTGTGTCCAAAATGTTTTAAAATTGTTAGATAGTTAGATGCTCAACTATCTATGTTCTTAAAAAATATATTTTTCTAAACAAACTGTGAATTATAGTTTGATTTGTTTATTATTATAATTTTTAGAAATATTGCATATTTACAAAAATCTCTACAAAAAAAAAAAAAAAACTGAATGTAATATGTAAGATTTAATTTTAAATATATTTGCAGGTTTGTAATGCAAAACATGTCAAAACATTGTTCAAAATTATTTCTTGATCTTGTTGATAAGTAAGTTTTCATTAAAAATAACTGCTATTAATTAATTTATGTTTAATTCAATTTATTTATTTATTAAATTTTTTATTTTCATTAGAATTCCTGGTACATTAAATGATCGACGGACAATGTTAGGAGAATTAAACTGGGTATTTACTGCCATTACTGATACAATAGCTTGGAACATATTACCTAGAGGTATAATTAGAATAAATTATTTACTTAATTTGTAATAGACACTTTACAAAAACTTTAAACATTTTATTTTTATTACAAAGATACTTTTCAAACATTATTTCGGCAAGATTTGTTGGTTGCAAGTTTACTAAGAAACTTTTTACTTGCTGAACGTATTATGAGAACATATGACTGTGAACCAGTATCTTCACCTAAATTACCAGCAATGCACAATCACCCCATGTGGCAGGTTTGTAGAAAATAAAAATATTAAACATGTTTCTTAATGAAAAATATGGTACTTGACATATTTATTTTAATTCATTTATACAAACTATTAATTTGTAAATATTTTGTTTAGTCATGGGATCATATTTTAGACTTGTGTTTGTCTCAATTACAACGTGTTCAAGATCATGGTGATGGTTTTTTTGTACGCACAACATTTTTTGAAGAACAATTGACTGCATTTGAAATTTGGCTAGACCATACATCTTGTTTACCAGCACAACAACGTAGTGCACCCGAACAGCTTCCCATTGTACTCCAAGTAATAAAAACAATAAACATAACTATTTGATGTTCTATAATATTTTATTATGTGTTTTTTAGGTTCTATTAAGTCAAGCACATAGACTTCGAGCGTTAGACTTATTGGGTAGATTTTTAGATTTGGGGCCATGGGCTGTAAATTTAACTTTATCTGTAGGCATATTTCCTTATATATTAAAATTACTGCAGAGTTTTGCTGTTGAACTTCGACCAATGTTAGCATTTATTTGGGCTAAAATAATGGCTGTGGATCATGTAAGTGTCCAAAATAAATTACTAACATTAAATAAATAAAAATAATGATTGGTTATATCTATTTTCAGACTTGTCAAACTGATATTGTTAGGGAAAATGGTTTTAAGTATTTTTTTCAACTAGTTGAAGATATACGTTTGCCTGTAAGTATAACAATTGCTTTAAT